TGGTTCAAGCAATTCTTCTGCCTCAGTCTCCCAAGTAGCTGGGACTACAGGCGTGTGCCACCACACCCAGCTAATTTTGTACTTTTTATAGAGATAGGAGTTCACGATGTTGGCCAGGCTGGCCTCGAACTCCTGACCTCAGGTGATCCACCTGCTTCAGCCTCTCAAAGTGTTGAGATTACAGGCATGAGCCACTATGCCTGGCCAACTTTGTTACTTAAAAAAACATTTTTTTGAGACAGGATCTCACTCTGTCACTGAGGTTGGAATGCAGTGGCACAGTCATAGCTCACTAACCTTGAACTCCTGAGCTCAAATGATCATCCCAGCTCAGCCTCCCCAGTGCTAGGACTACAGGCATGCACCGCTATTTCTGGCTAATTTTTATTTTTATTTATTTTTGTTGAGACAGGATCTTACTGTCTTGCCCAGGCTGGTCTTAAACTCCTGGCCTCAAATCATCCTCCTGCTTCACCCTCCCAAAGTGCTGGGATTACAGCTGTGGGCCACAGCACTCTGGCAAAAAAGTCATTAAAAAAAGAAAAAGTTATTTCTAAAGTGCTTGGAACAGAACCTGAAAAATAGTAAGTTTTCAAAAAGTGTTTGTTAAAGATGAATTCCGGGCCTCCCTAGGCAAGCCACCTTCCTATTGTAAAATAAGCACCCAGGGGTGGCTACTGACAGATCAGGAGAGTCTTTGGGTTTTGTGCCTGGTGTGGGATCACATCCTAAGTCGTGTCCCCAGATGCTACAGTGCAAGCAGAAGAGAAGCAATGGGGCGATTCGGACTGTCCTGCACAAACAGCCCCCACTTAGAGGGTGGGATGAAAGGCAGACAGTGGGGGATGGGCCAGGAACCTGCAGGCACCTTTGGAGGGCATCCCAGAGTCGCTCAGAGCCCCACTCCAGAATCAGACAGAACCTGGTTCAAACCCTGCCTCACTTGTTCAGCCAATCTCTGTGGCCTGAGGAAATTATTTCATCTCTGAGCTTCAGCTTTGTCATCTGTGAAAAACAGATCTTTAGAGTCCCCATACAGGGTTAGGAGGATTGAATGAAATAATACCCGTCAGAAGCTCAGGACTGTTGCAAGCTCATTGTAAGCACCCAATCACATGCTACATTTTCTTGCTATTGTTTGTAGTAGAGACTGGCAGGGTGCACCCTCAGTGTGAACAGTGAATTATCTTTTGTTGTGGGATTTCAGGTCCCAACACTGTATTCCAAAAATGTTCAAAGTTATAGCAAATTGAAAAAGGCTGTTCAGCAAGCAGTACGATGAGAATTAGGATGTTTTTCCTTTCTTTTGGCTTAGCTATCATTTATATTTTTCTACAGTAGACATATATTACTTTGATAATTAGAAATAAATATGGAGGAGAGGAAAAGGAAAAAAAAAGTTCAACAGAGTAGGACCAGGGACAGAGCCCTGTGGTGCAAAGCCACCACTTCCCAGTTTCAGCCATGGGCTGCCTTTAGAAACAGCCTCTCATCTAATTACAGTCTTGGCCGGTGCAGTGGCTTATGAGGGTAATCCCAGCACTTTGGTAGGCCAAGGTGGGCATCACTTAAGGTCAGAAGTTCGAGACCAGCCTGGCCAGCATGGTGAAACCCCATCTCTACTAAAAATACAAAAGTTAGTCAGGTGTGGTGGCGTGCGCCTGTAATCCAAGCTACTCGGGAGGCGGAGGCAGGAGAATCACTTGAACCCAGGAGGCAGAAGTTTCAGTGAGCCGATACCAGGTTGCTGCACTCCAGCCTGGGTGACAGAGCAAGACTCTTTCTCAAAAAAAAAAAAATTATTCTAGCCGTTGAGACATTTAACCCACATATCACCTGGTGTCCACAGGATGTCAGATTTTGCTGTGTGTCTTGCTGAAGTCCAGACATGAGAAGCTTGCAGCACCCCCATTCCCGAGCAAATAATCCTATCAATGGGGAAAATCAGATCAACCCAGACAGATCTGTTCTTAGTAGTTTCTTATCACGTCTTTCCTTTACACATACTTACAAACCTAGGGGTGGTGGAAAGGGTATGGATTCTGGAGTCAGAGGTTCTGGGTTTGAATCCCACTCATATTTTTTGGCTGTGTGACTTTGGGCGAGTTGCCTGGCCTCTCTGAGCCTCACTGTAAAAAGAATAGTAAAGCTGTTGTCACAGGCTTCTTTTGACAACTTAAAGAAGGGGTAGACTGGACACAATGGCTCACACCTGTAATCCTAACACTTTTGGGAGGCCAGCGTGGGTGGATTGCTTGATCACAAGAGTTTGAGACCAGCCTGGGCAACATAGTGAAACCTTATCTCTAGTAAAAAAAAAAAAAAAAAAAAAGCTGGGTGTGGTGGCATGTGTCTGTAGTACCAGCAACTTGGGAGGCTGAAGTGGGAGGATCACTTGAGCCCAGAAAGTAGAGGCTGCAGTGAGCTGAGATCACACTACTGTACGCCAGCCTTGGGTGATAGCAGTGAGGTCCTGTTAAAAAATAAAAAAAATAAAAGCAACAACCAGTGACCATATCTGCATGCCTCTCCTTGTCCTACAAAACTGTTGTTTCCTCAAGGACAAGGCAGGAGCTTCCTATCTTTGTGCCTCAGTGCCTGGCACAGAAGGGCACCATCACTCCACCCCACCCCACCTGAGCTGATACACACTCTTTCTTCTTACTCACATCTCTGCCACCTGCCTCACATTTCTCCACAATTCTCACCAACTCCTTCTGCACATATGCTTCTCCCCAGTGCTTATCTCTGCCCTCTCATTTCCCCCTACCCTGCCTTCCTGGCCTAGGGTGACAGGCCCCATCCTTCATCCCCATTCTGTGTCCCCAGTGTCCATGAGCTGCTGTGCAGCCCACAGCCTGCTGCATGGCCTTCAGTGGGAGGGGGAGCGTGATCCAGAACGGCAACTCATTTACTCAGGCACTTGTTAGCAGCTTCATCAGTTCCAAGGGCTGCATGGAAAGGCTGTGACTCAGTCTGTGCCATCCATCAGAGAGAGGGGTGGAAGGTGAGACGAGAGAGGGAAGAAAGTAAGAAAATGACCCATTCCTGTGTTCCTGCCACCTCCCAGGGAGAACGAGGCCCAAGCCAGTTGGGTAGCAGGGATGGGCAGCACGGGGTGGCACAGACATCTCCATACGCCCCATCCGGTTCCCATGCTGGAGTCCTCACAGCAGTCTGCTCCACATCCCTCCTACTTCAGGCCAACATGGACTACTGGACTATCGCCTCCAATCACCCAGGGCTGCAGCCACACACACTCCCACTCACCCATCACTGAAACAATGACAGGGAGGAGAGAAGGTCACTGGTAGGAGCCCCAGAGCCACTGAGTCAGGAAGAAGGGCAGCAGAATGAAGACGTTTCTTTCCATTTCTGCCTCTTCATCCTTCCACCAGGTCTCATCCCACTGTCAATCATCAAAATAATTTCCAGGTAAAGAGTTAAATGTAAAATATATTGAACTATGGAAAAACAGGAAAGAGAATCTTGTGGCAAGAGAGCTTTACAAGCATAAAAGCCCTGGAAGAAATCACAAAGAGGGTCAACAGCCTGGGCCGTACAAGTGTTAAATGGGTGTGCACGTCATAAAAGTGTAACTGAAATCACAGATCGAACCACCTCTCTTTGCCAGGCTAACTCCAATTTATCCTCAGTTCAGCTCCCCAAGGAAGCTTCCCTGACCACTTCACCCGCTTTGGGTTGGCTGCCACCCCTGAGCACTCCAGGGCACTGAATCCTGTCTCAGAAGAGAGTTGAAACCTTGTTGTGATGATTTCTTTATATCCCCATGGACCACAGGCACCGTGACATTTTATTATTTTGATAATCTCCATGGCCAGCACACAGAGAGATTGAGCACAAAATAGAATTCAATAACTTTTAAAAAAAAAATTTAACTTTGGGAGGCCGAGGCGGGTGGATCATGAGGTCAAGAGATCGAGACCATCCTGGTCAACATGGTGAAACCCCATCTATACTAAAAATACAAAAAATTAGCTGGGCACGGTGGCACGTGCCTGTAATCCTAGCTACTCAGGAGGCTGAGGCAGGAGAATTGCCTGAACCTAGGAGGCGGAGGTTGCGGTGAGCCGAGATCGCGCCATTGCACTCCAGCCTGGGTAATGAGCGAAACTCCGTCTCAAAAAAAAAAAAAAAAAAAACTTAGTGGCTGTTTTATTTTCTAGTTATCTAGCTTTTTTTTTTTTTTTTTTTTTTTTTTTTTTAAGACAGTCACACTCTGTTGCCCAGGCTGGAGTGCAGTGGCACCATCTTGGATCACTACAACCTCCAACTCCTGGGTTCAAGTGATTCTCCTACCTCAGCCTCCTGAGTGGCTGGAACTATAGGAACCTACCACCAAGCCTGGCTAATTTTGGAATTTTTAATAGAGGTGGGGTTTGACCATTTTGGCCAGGCTGGTCTCAAACTCCTGACCTCAGGTGATCTGTCCGCCTTGGCCTCCCAAAGTGCTGGGATTACAGGTTTGAGCCACTGCACCCAGACTCAAGCAATCCTCTTGTCTCAGCCTCCCGATAGCTGGGATTATAGGCACACACCACGTGCCTAGCTTCTAATTTTTTTGAGGAACTGGCATACAATTTTCCATAACTGTTGTAACATTTCACATTCTCAGCAGCAATGCACAAGGGTTCCCATTTCTTCACATCCTCGCCAATATTTCTACAATATTTTTGGTTAATTTTTGCTCTTTTGCTGTAAATATATTTTTGTCAAGTTGCAGCTGCAGATTCAGGCTAATTCTAGTTATGGAAAACGTCAACCGTATAAACTAACCAGAACGTCCTTACTGGCAAACCAGGGAGTCAAAACCGATTTACGTTCTACTGGGAAAGGTCTACATTCATTTTATGTTTCCACAAAAAACATCTCACTTCTCAATTGTAAGACAGACACAGCTGTGCCATAAATTTGCTGCCTGGATGTAATTAAATACTGCCAGTCCCAGTATTTCTTCCTAATGTTCCTTTACTTTCCAGGGGCTGTCTCTCAGGACTGATGGATTACCTGACAGTAGAGATACAAAAGGTGAGGTCTTTATAAACAAAAATTGTTTCAAATTGTCCCTTTAGTTTGCAACTCAGGAATTTTTTATACTTAGGTATACTGCACCACATTACTAAGATGTGTAAGAAATGTATCTTTCTAAGTGGGAGAATGATAATGTAATACTGCGGTTCAGCATGCCCTCAGCTCCCAAGAGGACGTTTCTCCAGGTTCTTGGTCTCCTGCCCTCTCAAGAATGAGAGAGGGGACCACAACGCAGTGTGCAGTAAATGCTGGACTCAAAAGTGTTTGTAGAGTGATTTAGAGAGAGAGAAACAGGAGAAGGAGAGAGAAACAAAGAGCTAACTCTCACACTGAGAGAGAGACTCCAGAGAGATGGAATCCAGGAGAGGAAAGCAGCTTCCAAACTGAGTGGAAGGGAACAGAGCGAGAGATGGAATTTAGGAGGGGAAGACAGGCTTCCACAAGAGATTGTGGAAGGGGACTCCAGAGGGAAAATCCAGGATAGAGAAAAACAGCTTCCACAAAGGGAGTGTTCATGGAAGTGGATCCAAACATGGAGTCCGAAGGGGTGTGGAAGAAGGGGAGGGGACTTTTATCCTGGGAGGAACCCCCACCTTCTCTAAGACCCCAGGCCAATGAAAGGAGTTCCTTAGAACTTCTGCTGGAGTGACTGACTCTTAGTTTCTTCCTGCACCTGCAAAATTTAAACATAAACCGTTAAATATTCAGGATAGAGAGAGATGGGAGGGGGGCATGGCACTAAGAAGTTCTTGCCCTTTAAACTATGCCCCCTTGTGGACCCAGAAAGAGAACACATTCCCTCAATAACTGTGAAGAGGGATGTCAAAGTAAAACTCAGAAAGGGAATGGAGGAAAAAAATAGTGAAGATGGCCAGGTGTGGTGGCTCAGACCTGTAATCCCAGCACTTTGGGAGTCCAAGGGGGTTGGATCATGAGGTCAAGAGATCAAGACCATCCTGGCTAACACAGTGAAACTCCATCTCTACTAAAAATACAAAAATTAGTTGGGTGGTAGTGGCGTGTGCCTGTAATCCCAGCTAATTGGGAGGCTGAGGCCTGTTTGAATCTGGAAGGCAGAGGTTGTGGTGAGCTGAGATTGTGCCATTGTACTCCAGCCTGGGCAACAGAGTGAGACCCTGTCTCAAAAAAAAAAAAGATAGTGATGTTGGCTCTCTTAAAAACCTATGTGCTTGGCTGGGTGCAGTGGCTCACATCTGTAATCCCAGCATTTTGGGAGGATGAGGTGGGAGGCTCACTTGAGCCCAGGAGGTTGAGGCTGCAGTGAGGATCAAGGAACTGCAGTCCAGCCTGGGTGAAAGAGCAAGACTCTGTCTCAAAAAGACCCAAAGACCCAAACAAACATATGTGCCCATGTACCTCCTGGAGAGTCTTCATTTATCCTCAGGGGTGTGTGTACCCCTAGTTTAAAGGTGCTGCTGTAGTTTATCATCCCCATAAACATATCATTATATGCAGCGTATCTGCTTAGTTTCCCCCATGTGTTCACCGATTTCTTTGTTCACCATTCTTGGATATCTGCTTTTAGTTATTGTTTTTCTTCCTCTTGAAGGTACATCATCTTCTTGAAGTAAAGTAATCCCCTTTAGAACTGCCTTTGGTGAGGCTCTGTTGAGAGTAAACTAAATTTGTTTTCTGAAAATATCTTAAAAGTTGTCTTAATTTCAAAATTCATGCAATTTTACATTCTATTAATATATTTTTAATATAAAATAATATTTTAAGTAACATGAGAGGGAAAACAAAACAAAAATTATAAACCTTATGAGTCATCACAAGAGATTATCTCCATCTTTCACAGGTTCTTAAACTGCCTACAAATTGTAGGTGATTATAACCCTAATTTACCTGTCCACATTGACTCTACTGGCTATGAGGACTCACATTTTTGCAATTCCCAACAATAAAGCAATAAGGCACAAATCTCCTTGGTTTTCTAAGTAGGTTCCAGTTAAGAGCAGGTCAGTATATTTTCTCTAATACTTATCTGTAAAGGAATTTATTTATTTATTTATTTATTTTGAGACAGAGTCTCACTCTGTTGCCCAGGTTGGAGTGCACTGGCATGATCTCAGCTCACTGCAACCTCCATCTCCCAGGTTCAAATGATTCTCCTGCCTCAGCCTCCTGAGTAGCTGGGATTACAGGCGCCCGCCACCATGCCTGGATAATTTTTGTATTTTTAGTAGAGATGGGGTTTCACCATGTTGGCCAGGCTGGTCTTGAACTCCTGACCTCAAGTGATCCACCTACCTTGCTTGGCCTCACAAAGTGCTGGGATTAGAGGGGTAATCCCATGCCCAGCAGGAATTTAGTTTCAAAATCATATGTGTAACTCAAAATGCTCTCTTTTAAGTGGTGAAACTGATTTCCTTATCTAAGCGTTACTGATATTTATTAATATGGCTTACTGATAAGTAATTCTTATACTAAGTATTCAAATTTTTTTGAATAAAATAATAAATGTATTTATATTAATTTACATGAATTAGCCAACTCTCTCAATGTCAGGAAAAAAAAATCCATTCATTTTGCTAAATAAAGAAAAGATAAGGAGAAGTACATGCCACCTACAAACTCAAAAGTAATGTTGCTTTAGCTTCAGGCAAAGTATTCTGAAGTTAGGCAGTCTAGTTTCAGGCCTTGATTACACACCAATGGGCTGAGACTTGTTCCTTAGCTGAAAGTACCTTTGGGCTGCTAGGCGTAGGAGGCAGAAGTGAAGAGGAGGGAGGAGTCCAGTCCCTTCACCAGCCTGCTTCATACAAAGCAATCTACTTTTATTTGTTTAATATATTTGACTCCAAGATATTGCTTCAAAGAAAAAAAAAGTTTGAAAACCACTGGATTAGAGACTCTAAGGTCTAAAAAGACTTCTATATTGTGTATATTTAAGTCACATGTCTTTGATATTGGTTAACTAAATTTTCAATATATTTTTGTCAATCTAAAGTTTCTGGGAAGATTTTTAAAAACAACCAATTTCCTCAAAGATCAAAGTGGAAATATAAATAGGAAATGTCTCAAAACTTTGCAAAGTTAGGATATGAGTTGTACTGAAGAGAAAACAAAGGAAAGAAATTGAAATAAAACAGATGACACATCTTTTTCAAATGTCACATTTAATGTTTTCACCACTGTACTTCAAATCTACATTGTACAAAGTGTGCCACGGTAATTGACCAACCTCTGAGATTGTACCTTTCACACCAGTGTCTTCTTGGGCTCTTTTGATACTAAACACGTTTCTCATTCAAGTGAATTGAAATGCTTCAGTTGGGTTGATTCTCAGGAGCCTCATAAAAAAAAACAAAGATATTGCACCATCTTTGTTTAGTAATTCAATGTTTGTTTCTTTCACAGCAAATAATTACTTCATTGAAGTTAAAACTTCCAAACATAACTTATTAATAGTCTTCAAATTCAGCTCAGATCACTCAAGTTGAAAATACTCTGCTAAATACAGATAACTTACAATAACTTTAACAGTTAATTGTCCATAACACACACCAAGGTTTTTTCCTAGACCAATTTTTAAGACGATCCATTAATATTCCTTGTACAGGTGAAAAATGATCTTCAATTTTCTTTTTATTTTTAATATAAAAGTTGGAAGGGACATTCAAGTTTCAAGTCTCCACACTGAACTTAAAAAAAAAAAATAGTCATCATCAGCATGTGGAGGTAAACAAGCCAAGTTGTATAACTCCAGGAGGTAGAGGCCTTCGATTTGTATTCATATGTACATATGCACAGAAGAATTCAGTGTTCCAACAGAAAAAAAGAACTTGTCAAAAAGTAATAAGTTATTTACTACTGTGACATTTCAAGACTCCCACAGCTTTGCCTAAGGACACAAACACATTTGACATAATTCCCTATGTGCCTTTTTAGTTGTGGCTTAAAATTTTTTTTAAGTTTCTTTTTGTCTTTTATTATATTTTACTGTCCAGTGCAGGAAAAGTCTCACAAAATTTCACAGACCTAAAATGTGCAAGCTAGTTCTCTTTCTATACAGCAATGTTGGGATTCTTTTGAAATTAGCCCAGAAATGAATTATTTACACACATGAAAGATGCATGCTTGGGGTTCTTTTATGTAAGAAAGAGCAGAAAAACTTCTAATAAAAATAGATTAAATATATATATATATATATTTATACTGGGTAAGGAAAACAAAAGTTTAGTCTCTCCTAGTCACAAACTCATTCTCTCTACCCACAACATTGGATTTTAGACAGCACACATCACCATCACGGCTCTAATGAGAAGCTAATTATAGGGCTTGATCATTAGGTGGCATGCCCCTCATCCCTACCCTCCCCCCAGGCGCAGCCACGATCAGTTCACGTGGCTCCATGATTGGTCGCAGGCAAGGTTTCTAGATTTTTTTAGTTTTAGAAAACCCCCAATCTTTAGGAATGGCTCAAACATCAAAATGTATGACTGTCCTGTGTGTGTGTGTGTGTGTGTGTGTGTGTGTGAACAATCTCACTTCATTTTCTAAAAAAAAAAAAAAAAAAAAAAACAAAAACATAAAACCCCAAACTCCCAAATTTGGTTCAATTCTCTTTTGTTCTGAGGTGAGCCATAACAGCTGCACTAAATTCATAAAACATGTGCAACTCTGGGTAAAATATTTTTCTTCTAAAAGCACAACCACTTTACAAGATTAAAAGTCTAGTAACATTTCTAAATATTATTCGTATCATACAAGTAGTGGTTGTTAATTTAAAACTTCATTAGTAAAATTACAGTACAAGCATGATTAACCTCCAGAATTGCAAATCCCAGACTCCAGTGGAAAGCTACATTACATCTTCAGTAGTACATTATCTTCCACCATCACTCCCACACCAGAGGAGATGGGGGCATCTCAGATGGCTGAGCAACAGTGGAACTGGAAGAAAAGAGTGATGGAGAAATTAGTTGTAATGCCACAATGGCAAAAGGGTAATTCACTACTGCCTGTTTTCCTCTCTTCCTCTGAAAAAATTAAGTCCACTTCTGGATTTTTACTTGTTTCTTTAAAGTTGAATTTGTTCTAAGTTGTCTGTTTAAGGATCTGATATCTAGGGAGAGGCAATCTGGTGTAGTGGGTAATATATAGGCTTGAAATTAACATGTCATTTACTAGTTGTATGGCACTGAGCAAGTGCCCTAATCTCTTCTCATTTGGAAAGGAATAATTCTGTTTACGTCAAAGGATACTGTGATGAATAAATGATAACAGATGTGAAGTGTCTTCCACAGTGCCTACTTCATAGTGTAAATGGTAGGTATTACAAGTGACAATTTCAATAATCAGGAAAACAACCTTAAGGGATGTAGAATTATCCATTTAAAAGTAGCCTCTTAAAATACAGTGGCCTATTTGAATGAGCCTTAGAAGCATTATTTTATCAAGTATTAATGGAGAAATATAGGCAATCATTTAGCATTGGTTATCCACAGATGTTACTGGCTTTTTCCTATGTCTAAGGTTGCTAATTAGATTATAAACTTGAGAGGGAAAAATGTAACCATTTTGTTTCCTCCAAGGCCCAGGATCATTTATACCTAAGCTGCTAAACTGCCTAATTGACAGGGTCAGTAACTCTTAGGGGGAAAATAGTAAAACAAAGTAATTTAAAACCACAGATAAGTAAAAATGCAACTTGATTCCTGCTTCCAATAGAAAAATACATGGAAAAAATGAAAGTTAGGTCTTATAATTTTACAAATTTTACACATAAAATCTTGACTGTGGTCCAACAAATTCAAACAACTTCAATATGATTAAAGGGAAAGAGCAGAAGAAGAGAGAAAAAGGAGAGGAGAAAGGCAGCAGGGACTGTGTGGCTGCTCAGATCCGAATCCACCCTTCTTTGTCTTGCTTTGTGATGCTGGAGCCAGACCCTGTTCATGATTCCCTTTGCCATTGAGCTAAATGTTAGCCTTTGTCAACAAGAGGGTGCTGGAAGGGCACTGCAAAGCTATAGCATTGGGAAGCAGGCTTCCTTCCCTGCTTTGTTGTGCTTTTTTTTTTGTCATGTGGAAGGTTCAGCTTTGGTCCACCCAGACTCTCCTGGCAGGCTTCTTTGATGGACCACTTCTGCCCACACCTTCTGGCACACTTCCTCTTCTGCACACCACCCTTGTGCTGTGTTCCTGTTCCTGTGGCAGCCATACCCTCTCCAAAGACGTCCTTACATAGAGGAACTACTTCTAAATTCTTAAATTTCTTTGTTTACTTTCCCTCTGTCAAAAAATTGCCAAAGCAACCTCAGTCTACAGGGAGTAGCTGCTTTCTGCATTTGCTACTTCAACAGTCTTCAGAATCCTTTTATGCCTTTTATCAGTTGATCATCTTTCCCAGTTAACAATTGTTGTTACTAAATTATCCCCATTCATATTATAGGGAAGTGGTTTATTTCTCCTGACTGGACCCTGACTGATATATAAAGACTTAAACAAAAAGAGATCAAGAGAAGGAAAGGACAGAGAGACAAGGAGAATAAAGCCTGGTAAGTTCTAAAGTAGGTTCACAGCTCTACCATAAGCTTGTTGGCTTCTCTTCTACACAGGATACACCAGCAGTCCACCAGCATACAAAAAAATTATTTTCTCACTTGCAGTTATTACTGGGGAGTGGGAATGGTAGTGGGAACTGAGATGACCACATTAACTCCAGGAAATCGCCACGTACATGATGATGCAGCACAATGATCATCTGGCAAAAATACTGCCAAAGCAACCACAGTGAACTGGCACCAGTGTAAAATGTGATGCTTACAGTTTTTGTGAGATGGAGTTTTGCTCTGACTGTCCTGGCTGGAGTGCAATGGCGTGATCTCGGCTCACTGAAACCTCCACCTCCCAGGTTCAAGCGATTCTCCTGTCTCAGCCTCCCGAGTAGCTGGGATTACAAGTGCATGCCTCCATATCTGGCTAATTTTTGTATTTTTAGTAGAGACGGGGTTTCATCATATTGGTCAGGCTGGTCTTGAACTCCTGACCTCAGGTGATCCACCTGCCTTGACCTCCCAAAGTGCTGGGATTATAGGTGTAAGCCATTGTGCCTGGCCTGCTTAGTTTTAATACAGTCAAGCCTCATAACAGAAACTTTCTGTTGTACCTTTTACCTATGTTATCTAAATAAAAACAAATATGCTGAATAATCAAATAACACTGGCATCCTTTAATTCTAACAAGAATATTAGAATTACATAGATATATTTACCTAATAAAGCTCTTAAAAGCAGCAGACTGAGGGTTGATGCAGAGAGGCACTCTGTTTCCTTTCTGCTGTTCCAAAATGAACTGGTGAATAATTTCTGTGGAGAAAGCAAGCATCATACAATCCATGACAATTTGCAGGCCCAGGAGCAGTGAATTCTCAGCTGACTCTAGCCAGCATCTGAATAGCATTTCCTACTGGTTTAGTTAAATCAAAAAACACATCATCTATCAAGCAGAATTCAGCTGAACTTCCTAAAACGAAAACGACAGCTGTTGCTAAATGTAGGCAAAAAACCCACTGGTGGCATTACAGACTGCAGCCCCATCAGTAGGAAGAGTAAAATGGTCTATAAATTTGAGAGAGACTCCAAGGTCTGGCATTATAGATGAACTCTTCTAAGTTGCTGCCTTTTGGAAAATCAGTTGGTATCTAGGTGTACAGTTTCAGGTGGTTACTTGGGGACTCCCCTCTCTTGTAAAATGTCCTAGAGTAGACACTAAAATCACTCAGAATTTTGGATGTCATTACCCCCACTGTATCCTAATAGGAGACCCTGCAACAAAATTTTATGAGTACACTATCAGAAATTCCCTTCTCTTGTCATCAGCCAAGGAATGATTCCCTCAGTGAATTTTTATATTTAATGGAACTTTGTATGTTATATAAAGAAGATCAATACGTTTCAATCAATGAAATGACATTGAGTGAATACATATAAAATGTATTGAGTCATACTCACTAAATAAACTGAAATAAGAACAAACTATTCATTCCTCTCCCTAACCTTCCCCTGTGTTTAATATTAAATATGAATTGTTATGCCCTGGACACATAGCTATATACAGGGTTGTAAAATAAACATACAGGGGAGCTTTGGTTACCAACCACATCTCAGCTCTTCATGGCCACCTGATGGAAAATGTTACTTGGCATCTTGCCTGGCCCAAGGCCAAACCAGATACTCACCTTTAACCTGTCGGACAGAACTGAGGTTCTTCTCAAAAGTGTCATCAAATTTGGGATTGGTGACAGGCTCAAAGTCACTGGTATAAACTCTTCCAGTAGAGGTGGAAAAGCAACATTTACACATACATGTGTGATATCGTAGTCGCCCTTCATCTAGGTAGGGGTGGGCTAAGGCATCCTTAGCGGATATTCTTTTGGACTGAAATCAAATTAGAGACCAGCACATCAACACTACAGATAAATATGACTGTCCACATAGGATCTTTCAAAAGACATATTAACTGCTTTACACGGCTTATATATAATTTATAGTACATTCCATCCAAAGAGGGATAACTGAATTTAGAGGTGGGTAACATAGCAGCATAGGGAGTGTATAATTTAGGACAACTACTGTTACCATCTACCATCATAAAGCACTTAGAAGTGCCTTTCTGTTGAAATTCTGAGAAGTTCCTACCCTGAAACAGATGTATGCAGGGTCAAAAATCACAAATACCACGACATTTAACTATGTAGTGCTTCGAATGGGATTACATTTATATTTTAAATAACAGGCTGTATTTTCTAAATATGTGTCAGTATCTAGAAGATATGTTCATAGTGGCAGTCTTACAAAGCTTCTTGACATTTTTATTCTCTTAGAATACCAAACAGACTAAGGCAAAAGCTGCTGGAGTTAGGCAGCAGATAGCGGTCTGACTGCCATGTTTTGAGATACAGCTCAGTCTGAATATCAGGAGTCTAGCATTTTATTTTCTGGTACTTTATTTTTTTAAATTTTTTTTGTAGAGATGGGTTCTCCCTATGTTCTTGAATTTCTGGCCCTCAGCCTTGGCCTCCCAAAGTGCTGGGACTGCAGGTATGAGCTACCGTGCCCAATCATTTTCTGTCACTTTAGATCAGAATACTTAATATATTAGTTTTAAGTTACCTGAAAATCTAAACTTTTAAACTTATTACTCCATTAAAAAATTAATGTGCCTTCTTTTAGCTCAGTAGGCTAATGTGTACTACTGAGACAAAGTAAATTTTAAAGGATTTAAGGATGAACTCAATAGTACAGAGTAGAACAAAAATGAGAACTAACACTTTGCTCTGATTCCAATATGACCAAGCACTTCACATTACACAATTTAAAGAAGAAACCCACTTTCATTTTCAAATAAACCAAAAACAACGGAATCATCCTAATTGTTCTGGTCCCCAAATAATAAAAAAATGTTTTCCATAAACCTGGATTCCCTACAAACACTTTTATCTCTGATTTTTGCTATGCTGATCTAAAAGGGCATGTCATGACCTTTCATGATAGGATAATCTCAGAAGAAAGCGGGTGTTTTATTTACCATGAACCGGCAAATGTATACTTGATAACCTTGGCTTGTTTTCCTTTCAATGAGTTCATGTTTTTTATTTGGTGACCTAGCTCTTCTGAAGTCTGAATCCCCTGCACTCTTAGCAAGTAAACTTTTTCCTTTTCTTTTTTTCTAAAAAAAATCTGAGTCCTTTGACAGCTATTCCTAGAGGTTCCACTGGGACAGAGTTCCACTGCTAGAACCCAAAGAAACAAGTAGGTTGACAATGTGCAAGCCTAGTCAAGGGCCCCTCTGAGCCCTTGGCTTCCCTTTCCATTTTTCATTAACTTCTGTTCATGAGTTTCAGCACAGAACTTCAACAGTTTATCCTTCTGTTTCTTTAGGTCATATACAGCGATCATTCCAACAACTTACTTCCAAGTATGAAGTAAGATGCTTCACACTTATAACACTGTCCAGTTTCTCCAATAGCTTGGCATTCTGTGTTACAGATAAACATAAATGCTTCCTTTTTTTAAAAAAAAAAAAAAAAATCACTGTTACTTGCTGGGTTATCCGCAGGACTTTTTGACATTTTCAATAATATCTTTACTCCACATAGCAGAGAACAGGCCAAAAATACAGAAAATAATGCCCATAGATCTTGGTACCATGTGAAGCATTGTGGGGAACCTGTCATTGGTTCATTGCATCTGGCCTGTACATGTGCCACTTTATTACCTGTTGTGGACACACATGCATGGGGGAATCTGGATATGCTTGGGGAAGATAGAATCACAGCTGACAGAGGCTGGGAGGATCTTTTTTCCCTTGGGGATACTGAACAAACTGTGTGTTGTATACCTGCTTTTTGACTGTGACCTGTCACTAAGGTCATTTGTGATGTCATGTTGGCATTCAAAGTTCCAGATTAGGGATGTTCAATGTGTATGTGTATGTATGTGTGTGTGTATGTGTATCTCACCACAGACACCTGCCTCTTAGACTGAATCAAGTAATTGAGTCAGCATTTCCAGTACTGTTTCAGTCCAGGAGCAGACACACCATGGCAGTAGACTGCTTAACCCAAGATCAACAAAACAAGAATAACTAGTTACCTAAGACTAAATGGACTAAATAAATACACTGATTTATTTATGGTCAATGGTCTGTTCTTCATGGGTATTTAAAAGTGGCTCACAACTGTAATCTCAGCACTTTGGGAGGCCAAGGCAGGTGGAACACTTGAAGTCAGGAGTTTGAGACCAGCTTGGCCAACATGGTAAAATCCTGTCTCTACCAAAAATATAAACATAAATTAGCTGGGCCTGGTGGTGCACGTCTGTAATCCCAGCTACTCAAGAGGCTGAGGGAGGAGAATCTTTTGAACCCAGGAGGTGGAAGTTGCAGTGAGCCTAGATCGTGCCATTGCACTCCAGCCTGGTCCACAGAGTGAGACCCTGACACACACACACACACACACACCCTCTCATTTCTTCTTAATGTATTGCTGACTTTTAATTTAACAGGTTAAAATCAGAACAAAACTCTCTTTAAATGGTTTCTTGTTCTGACTGAAGTCTCAGAACTGGAAATTTTAAAAAATCCTTAATATAGATCAAAAGCTAACAAAGCATCAGGCGAATTTAAAAATAACAATTCTGTAACAGAGTAATAACCTTGTTGGCTTTGTTTATAACACAGTGATAAAAGCAGTTAATTGTTATGTAGTGTACATTAACTAAATTAATTTCTTTCTTTTTGAGACAGGGTTTTGCTCTGTCTCCCTTGCCAGGGTGGAGTACACTGGTGAGATCATGGCTCACTGTGGCCCTGACCTTCTGGGCTCAAGCCATTCTACCACCTCAGCTTCCTGAGAGGCTGGAACTACAGACACGTGCTACCATGCCCAGCTAATTTAAAAAAATTTTTGATTTTGTAGATGTGGGGTCTCCTTAAGTTGCCCAGGCTGGTCTTAAGCTCCTGGACTCAGGGAATTCTCCCACCTCAGCCTCCTAAA